ATGGTAGAGGTTTATGATGGAGTCACGTTTGATATAAGCTGCTACACTGCAACTTCTCTGCCAAAATCCCACCTCCGCTCACTGGAGGATTCACTTGCAATTAAGCAATTTGAAGTTACAGTAGTTCTGTGACATAAGTCATAGCCTACACATTAACATAAATGACTGCCTTTACATTCACTTTTCTTCCACTGGCAGGGAAAGGGCTGTATTCAAAAAGACAGTTCTTAAACTATTTGGTGGCAGCCAGTAGCAGCTTCCTAAATAACACAGGAGAAAAAGTGTTCTTACATTAATGTGTTTTGAACTGGACGTTTAAAGAATAGCAGAAATAATTCTAAATGAACAGAAAAGTATAACAGAAGTGATTTTCACTTAACAGTTTTGTAAGTGATGCATTACATTGGTCTTTCAGAAAATAAAATGAAATGGAAGTGTTAGTTTAATGCTGTGTTGTGCTGTAATTTGTGTTTCAGAAAGATCAGTGCAGTGCTTAGGGGTACACAGATTCCTCTGAATGCATGCCCGGTCACTCTCAGCTCCTTTAGGGACAGCCTATGCCTCTTAGATAGGAGCAGAGTATTTGACTTTTCAAATCAGTGACAAATTATGTTTTTCTGATTTTGATTCTATTTTCAGCCTAGTATTGGATACAAGTCAAGATAGAACTGGAGCAAATGTGAAAATTGCTGCAAGGAACTAGAATTCAGTAATTCATACTAAACTGCACTTTTAAAGAATCAAGCTATGTCAACTGGTGCCAGGATGCCGTTCTCCTATAGCAGAGCTCTTAAGGGCAGAAAATATTATTTTGATAATGAATAGCATATAGTACCATGTTCCTTACTTATAACTAATCAAAATGTATGTCTTTGTGGGTGTAAAATTCATCCTTTAAAATGGAACTCAATAACAAAGCTGGAATCAAAAGCAGAATGTATCATTAAATTTGCTTGTGATGTACATACAATTACTGAGTTATTTCTTAAAAACAAGGTCATAAATCAATGTCCCTATTAAGTTCCCAACATTTTATTATTTATTTCCAATAAACTGAACCCAGCCTGGTGACAAGGGCAACTGTTTGTTTTGGGAGCAGCTGGATCTGGCTCCAGATTTCTCTGATCACAGTGCATAACCAAAGACCATTTGACAGCAGTTCAGACGAAGGAGGACAGAGGGACATCTGTGTTCTGTCAGGAACATGATTTAGGAACATGTTAGAATGGAGAGGAGATGCCTTCACTATTACTCAGCCTTGTGGGAAAACCACAGGGATCAAAGGCTGTGAGAGGGCAGGGACAGTCACGGGGCAGTATGCAGGGAGCACTGCTGCCAGGACCTCGAGAGCCCATGGAGCCACAAGAGCTGTGTGCAAAGCCCGGGGTTCATTGCACTGGGCAGCAAAGTTTGGTCCCACCAACCACCACCTTCACACTCAGGTGCTGAGCACAGCTCCCCGACCCCAGGGCTGGGCTCCAGGCTGTGCCTCCATCCTTCTGATGTCAGGGCACCTGGCTACACAGCAAACTAGTACTGGGGGAGGCAGCAGGGCAGCAACTTGATGAGATGTTCAGCACATGAACAGATAGTTTGCTGGGTGCAGCTGAGACAAAAGAGCTGCCTCTCCTTGCATTGTTGCTGCTCTGCCTCCCTGCTCCGTGCACCCTACTTCCCCAGCACAGCCTGCTCACGAATGCCAGCTGTGGGATGTGGATGGAGGTCTCATCACCACACACTTTTCCCCAAAGTACACAGCTGTTTTGGTGGGAGGTGAGCCCTACCATGCTTCTAGTTCTGGCGCTCAGAAAAGAGCAGGTTTGCAGTGAGCACATTCCAGACAAACAGCAGCAATCCTTCACCCATCCAGGTGTGTTGGCGAACGTTTACGAACCCACAGGAACATAAAATGAACCTGCGCTGATTTAGGGATCAGGTTCCTACATCCTCTAGTATAACTACTACAGGAAAAAAATCTCCAATAATCAATATAAAAGGTGGAATATCATGCCTGCTGGAAAGTGCCAGAAGCTGCTGTCCGGGAGCAAGGAGAATGGGGTGGATTCAATGCTGCAACACAGCAAGGTTCACTTTTTGATATTTTCCCACAGTTCCACAAAATGTAATGTTTGTGCAAAGTCATACTCAGCTAAAATTGAGACCAAGATTACAAGTGATAAAAAAATGCAGTAACTTATTTTCTCTGTATTTTAGTGTAATATATCTTGAATACCTCATTACTGCATTTCTTTCTACAGAATCTTGTACAAATGACAGTACAGCTGTAGTAACTCATGAATGAATTGCACAGGAGAAACATTTCGTACACATTTCTGCACTACCACTCCTAAGATGAAGGCTGTTTGCAAAGCCCTCTTGCCTCCTCTGCCCTATAGACACCCCTCTTGGGTGTCCAACGCTCTTTTGCCCCTTGGATGTTTCCTTCCTGCTCTGTTCAAGGCTCCCCACATGCCCAGAGCAGCCCTCAGTAGCTCCTGCTACCACTTAGAACTCTCTGCATGGTACGGTAGTAGGAAACACTCACACAGAATTTTTCTTCAGTGAAAACACAAAACAAGGTTTTACTGAGTAGTCAGTCCTAGTCATTGCTGAAGGAAAGCACAAAAAACTACGGCTAAGTATAAACATCAGGAACCTGTAGCATCCTTCAACTTTGAAAGTTGGGATGAGGACAAATAGCTGCTGCATTCATGTTTGAAGACTCAACATTACACCTTGCAGGCTAGATATACAATAGGTATATTGTAGGTACTTAAATATATTTATATACTTAACAGAGACCCCTATCTATAGTATTACAGAACAAAGATCTATCTACATCTATAAAAAAGTATTAGAGCTTTTTGTTTAGAAAGAACATCTGTCAGTGCTCCCTTCAGAATTGCCTTCTAATGTAACAAACAACATAAATGAATACTATTAAATCAATTTTATACGCAAAGTTGGTTTTTTGGTTTTTTTTTTTTTTTTACTTCTAATTAAAGTTATTCCTAATTTATATCAGTAGATGTGAAAAAATAATCAGATCCAAAGTGTTAGACATATGGCAACCTGACGTGTTGCATGAAGGCATCTATTCAGTATCAGAGAGCTCCAAAGAAAGAAAAGCACCAAAATAACAAAGCATCTGAACAGTGGTTTCTTTGAGTGAAAAATGAAAAGGCAGGGGACCTGGTTCTTTTCTTAAATCAAGACTAGAACTTGACTTAATGACATTAATTTATGCCAAAATGTGTAAGATGGAATGAATGAAGATGTAGTTACGATGCCAAGATAAAAAGCGCAATTTTAAGTAATGTGTATCACATTAAAATTTTTTAATAACCTATTTTTTAGCAACAAGGTTTGCTATAATTACTTCCCAGGGAAACCATGAAAGCTGTTGTTTGGGACATCAAAACCAAGTTAGATTAAATTTTTGCATTCTTAAATAAAATTTCTCTGTGAGGAGGGAAGAAAGAGGACTTGGATCTATCAGAGTTTTATTCATGCCTTAATTCAAGGAATGTGTTTATTTTGAAAACAAATTCAACAACTTATATGTAAAACTGCAACTGTCTCTTATAGCAACACAATAAAGAAAGTAACAGTCAAAGCTTAAAAAACACAAATACTAAGGTTATCTCAAAATACTGTGCTGAACTACTTCTGAATACATCAAATATTTGGGGTAACGTGCTCTAATTATACCATTGCATTACTATAAAATTAAATAGCTTCTCCTTTTTTTTAATATACCAAAACAAGACAGGTCACCTGAAATATCATCTATTAATATCAGCATTACAAGACCAGATTCCCAGTGGAGAGGGAAAAAATCAATGGGAAAGAAAAGTCTTAACTGCAGCTGGATGACTATTAGCTATTTAATGCACTAAAACTTCTCCCATTAAACACCCTGACTACTTCTGTCCAGCACTTGAACTCCAAACAGAAAAGAGTATATTAAAACCAATGCAAACTGAGAGTTGATGGTGATGAGACTCATAAGGAATTTCCAGAGCTGCCTAATAATATAAAAAAGATGATCTGGTGCTACAATAGCAGATACAGTTGCCCTGCACATTAAGACTACTTGTTGCCATTGATGTTTTATGCTTTGATACATTAAACTATATCAGAGCGAAAACAAACATTCAGTTGCAGCTGAAACTTTAGGAGAAAATTTTAGCAGTGATCACAGATGTTTGTACAGGAGCATAGCACAATCGTAACAAAAAGACTGGAGAAAAACCTTCTTTTTTATGAGAGCTCCTGAGACACTGATTTCAGTCTTACAAAATAATACCAGCATATGTTACGGGCTCTACCTGAATTCGCTCCTGATGTTAACAGAACACAGACAGTGGGTCCGTGACTCTCAACTACAGGCGCAGCTATCCAGGCAATCATTAAGTCGTGGATTTCAAAGTGCGCTTTGAAGAAACTGATCTCTCAGTAAGGTCTGCGCATCCAGGAGACAGAGGGAAATCTGTTGCTGAAATATTTCCGAACACACAGCCGGAACTTTGTTTTGTTTTACCCTATTCAGTACGGAGAAGCCCCACAAATGGAAGAAGTTCACATCCCCTCATTGTTCAGGGACAATGTGCACGCCATGCATCATACAGAAGTAACTTTTTATATATTAAAAAAAATAATAATGAGGTTGCTAGTACTAGTAATAAGCACTTTATTGCTCTGTTTTCATTCAGCAAGGGACTCGGCAGAAACGATAAACCCAGCCAAAGCGGCAGCTGCGCCTAAGCGCGACTCCCGACCCGATTTCCAGCACCGGGCTGCCGGGAGCTGTACTCCCGCAGGTCTGCGAGGCTGGCAGCCGGAGCGGGCACGGAGAGGCAGCGGGCTCCAGCGACCGGGCGGGACCAGCGGGGAGGGGGACGCGGGCACGGCCGCCTCTTTCCCGACAGGGACCCGAGCCCACGGGGCACCGCGGGGCTGTGCGGGGCGCGGGCGGGGGCCGGGCGCGGGGCACTCACCGCGGGGGCCGTCAGGCGGCGGATGCTCTCGCCCAGCGAGTCCAGGTTGACCCGCCGGCGGCGCGGAGCGCGGCGCGCCCCGGCGCTGGCCGCGGCGGCGGCGGCGAAGGGGATGTCAGCGGGGCCGGGGGGGCTGCGGCTGCCGTTCCAGCAGAGGCGGGACAGGGGACACTCGCCCTCCTCCTCGGGGCTCGTCTCCGGGCAGTCCGAGCCCAGCGAGCTGAAGGACTCCGACGAGATCTTGCGGCGGGACATGGTGCCGCGGGCCGGGCGCGGGGCGGCAGCGGGCTCAGCGCGGGGCGGCGGGCAGCCGCGGCGGGCAGCGCCGAGCTGG